AGAGTCGTGCCCTCTCCATAATACCGGTGCCAATTCCTCATCCACTTCATATACAAGAGAACCACCTCACAGTGGAAAGTCTTCATTAGACAGTGCGTAAAAGATCCTGCTTTTGTTCCCTAACACCTGTGACTAGCGAAACAAACTTTGTGCTAAATATACAAAGAAAAGTAACAAGTCTTTTAAACTCAGTCCTATATATTTAATTAAAAATAAACATTTTTATTCCTGTAGAGATAACTACCAGTAACATGCTCAGTGGTGGGCTGTTAAATGATTTCCCTTAAAACTAATTTTTAAAATCTGGTTGCCACACTAAATCCCGTTTTCTGCAGACGGACACAAAAGTCATCTCAGGACAACAATGCGAGTCTCGGAGGGGGGGGGCTTCACCATGTCTGAATTTTGTCTGTTTTATCAGCAAGTTGGTGATGTGTGAAAAACAGGGGATAGAGATTCTCAGTCAGCCATTAAATCCAGCCCGAGGCTGAAAGGCTCCCAGTTACACCGACGACCAAACTGCTAACAGTGACTTACATCCCCGACTCACGGCAGGACACGAGATCCGTTGCCTTACACACTGAAAAGCCTGATATACCGCCTGGAAAGCTCCATCTACATTTCACCACGTTTACTTTTCGGTTTGCTTACTGATGTCACAGTCACACCTGCTAACCATAAATGCACTTTAAACAAAAGACGGCTTACTCTATTGCAAACACTGCATCTGATTAGTTGAAATTTTAATAAGCGATTCGTCAAAAATATAGATTGTTTACGACAAAATCCTTAAGAGAGCTGACATGGGACGTCTTAGTTAATTCTGAGTGCACTTCGGTCAATGGGCTTATAAAAGGGGCATCGACGCAGCAACTCACGCGTATAACAAAAAAACCGATCAAGTTGAAAGTAGGTATCCCATCCGAAAGAACCCATTATAAACTCTTACGCAGTTCAGCTGCAAAACGAAACACTGTGGACCAATGCAATTAACTTCCAGCACGAACAAAACCTGTTTTTTTTTTTTTTGGAGATTCTGCAAATCTTTAGTGAGATTTGTCTATATTTTCGGCCAAGCGATCATTTTACTGATACAACACAAACTTCACACGGACTTAAGCGCGGTTTCTGAACCTCCTCCGATTAGCCTGTAGTACAAAAACACGCTGCACGTATCGACACCCACAACCTGGTTTCGCTGACAGACGGATATACTTTACTTTATTGCGTTTAGCTTTATAATACCTCTCTAAAATGGAGAGCCGGTAAACTTCACGGGACACGGATCTCACCTCGATCCAGCTCTGCGCCGCACTGAACGCTGGCTCCCAGTGCTGATGCTGCGGGGGTCCGCCAGCCTCCACACCATGACAAGCCATTTGTACAGCGGGACAGGGAGGAGCGACCTCCAGGTAACTTCAGCACTGAAATATCCTGCTTCAGAGAGCAGCTGGGAGACCACCACGAAGACCTGGGGAGTGATATTTCACTGCTCGCTGTTGGTTGTGCACTGCGGAAGATCCGTGCGTTGTACCTTGGCGCCCGCTCACTCGCATTGCACAGCGCAAATAAACAAAGCAACAGTGAGCGCCAGCAGCCAATGCAAAGCAGCCGAGCCCATCAGCCGGCCGCCAGGGCTGCACGCCCGTTGCGCACCCACAGGACACGTGCTGAAGGGCGCCCACGCCAGGCGGGGCAGGGTAACAGTTCATATATACAGTATGCCTAAAAACAACATTTCAACACGTGCTTTTTAATAACTGCTAATTCACATGTACTTCTAAGTACCGCTTAAATACTCAATGTGACACCATGACACTTTGATACAATAGCATTTCACAGCTGCGTGCCAAAATGACTACAGACCACATCACTAGTAAACAAAGAATCCCACTTGTGTTAAAGGTCAACATGCATGACCAGATGTACAAACTTATGGACTTTTTATAAACAGTATGTCATTCCAAGCTGGGAGCTTTATAATCAAACAAAAGTATTTTCTGTCTTCTCTGAACAAAGCAGTATTATTGAGTGATTACATCTTCTGCCAAAATACATAAAGAAACCTGACTTAAGGTTTTCTACAGCAGATCCATTAGACAAAGTATAAAGTTCAATTTGAAAACAAGCCTGTAGATCCCTAGTTCCTCTAGTAGTCTAGTTAATGAAATAGTTGTTCGCTAAAACATCCATTCTAAATCCAAGAGTGAAAAGTCAAGCTGGTGAACTGAGTTTTCCACAGGTTTACAACTTATAAAATACCAAAATGCCTGCATACTCCTTCTTTTATGTACTTTTCAGCAAATAAAAAGGTCGCCATACCAATAGGTGAAAAGATGTGACTGTAAGCATTTAAAACACACACTTAAGTCCCAGTCCGTTTTATAAGTGTGGCAGCCAGTTGTTCACAGAGGCCTTTTCCGCCACTCCTGTCGTTAGGCTCTGCACAGTGCCACGGCTGAGAAGCGCACCTCATCTTTTTCGCGTTTCACAAACTGACGGCAGATTTTTGATGCATCCTACGAAAAAAAAAAAAAAACATGTCAGATGACCTTCTGCCAGCACAAAGGAAGCCAGCTACCGTAGGATGTCAGATTCTTACTGTCTCACTTGTGTTCCTTAAACTGATATCCTTGTGTATGGGTTGGGGGGGAATTGTACAGGATGATTTATCTATTGATGTTTAAATACTGTACCATTACAAAACTGTCTTCATTTGTAGCACCATGATTCACAGGGAAATTCATTCTTCCATCTGAAAGCAGAATGGTTCAGCATCAACACTGCATTATAGAATTTGGCATTTTAAAGGTTGACTATTCCAGGACGTTAAAGAATAATTTTCCTCAATGAGACCATTTAATATGAATCCAACACTGAACTAAGAATCGTCACTATGTCTTACCCAGTTCCCAAAGCTGTCCACCCACATTGACAAAAGTAATTAAGTGAAAACCCATTTTCCCTTCTTCCACCTTGGGGAGAGATAAAGTAGTCTGAGCCAAAAATTCAATACTTGCATGAAGTTACAGTCCTTATTGTAAAATACTGTACATGCATAAACACCATGTTCCTCAAATAAATCACTCAGGTAATATTTTGGTAAGCATGTGACATCACTGCATAATTTCTAATACTAGTTTTGTATTTTTTTAAAAATGCAGTCATTTGACAACACAATTGAATTTGACATTGCAATTTGGAAAAAATGACCAATTCAACTTATACACACAAACAGGAACTGATTAAACTGAAATAAAGCACAAATTAATGTGTTTTAGCTCAACTGCCAGAATAAGAACATTTACCTGACACTGTCCCTCAGCTGCCACCCCATCATGAACTTTATGAATTTCCTGGGGGGGGGGGGATGTTTAAATAATTCAAGTGAACACAAACTGCGAATATGTACACTCTTAGTTTTCTGTTTAAATATATGAATTCAGCTTCATGGCCTGCTGGCATTTGGCACCAGTAACTTGTTGGATCATATATTTATATACATACATATATTTATATGTACATGGACAGTTTTTTAGCGCCATCTAGTGAAATGTTTGTCCTTATTACTTGCAGCCAAAATGATTTATAGTTCAACAACCAAATGATCCTTTTACATCTTTAAATAAGTTGCCTTAAAGACAGTTTATTCAGGGTATACAGCAAATACCTGACTGCTTTCCAGTTCTCTGGCTCTTTCCTCTGCAGACATGTTTACTGTGTCTTCTAAGAACTTTTTCAGCACGGAGTCACTCTCTGAAGGCCAAAAAAAACAGGCCAGCTACTTATAATTGCAGTTTGCGCAACCCCAGTCTGGAGAACTCTGGACTGTGTACAGATTTTTTATTACCAAATTCTAGTTTGTCTTTATTGTTGGCCACAGTGTGCAGAAGGCCGACCGTTCCACACGAGTTTCCCACAGTCTGTTTGAGGAAGTAAACCTTGTGGTCATCCTCATCGCTCCTCAGCTGCGATGCTCTGAAAGACTCATGCTGACAGACATCCACCCCACACAGAACAGCGTTCACTTAGACAACAATGGACTACAAAATACCACAAATGTTTACTGCGGCTAAGTACAACTTTGTTCAACATATGTTAATAGACTACTTTCTCTTCCAAACCCTCTTGATGCACAGCACTTTGGCACAACACATTGATTTTTAAATGTGCTGTATAAATAAAAAAGACTAGAATAGGACCTGTGCGCCAGGCCCCGCCCCTCAATTACCTGCCGCGCGCCCCTCCCCCTCTCCGCCACGCCCCTACCTGACCCGTGAGCGGAAAGAGCAGCATGACGGCGCAGGCGGGTACGGGCGCCTCGTCGTCCAGGCTTGTCACGTCGGCGAAGCGCCAGCTCCCCTCCAGCCCCAGTCTGGTTAACGCCTGCAATCAGCCGCTGCTGTTTGGGCTATTTTTAAACACACGCTTGCCCTCAAGCCGCCAAATAAAATCGTAAAAAACACCACTGATACATGCTAACGAGTTTTGTCCTACCTATGTAGAGGGCGATATCTTAACGCCACATAAATACTTTTATTATTATTTTAATTTCTTTAACAATACAAATACTGCCTCCGACTGCTAACTCCGGGTAATCAGACTCTTAAGACCCCACAGTCATAAGGGAAATCTCATTCGGGGTGCAGGAAAGCAAATGTATGCTATAAAAAAGCTCTTTCCAGAAGGAGCCCAGCGCCGGCACGTACTTTGTTCAGTGTCTGAAAAGAGAAACAGTTCGGGGTGTTTAGGCTACATAGTGATTTCAGGGGAAAAAACAAAACATGGAACCGCACACAGCGCAACGCCGGCCAAGTCAGAGCCCCGCCTACGGGGAGCCTCACCTCGGGGTTTATTTCCATGGGACTCCACTCCATGACCGCGACCGCAGAGTGAACCGGAGCGAATCCCGTTTCACTGGCGACGCCGAAATTAACGGATTCCCACGGTTCGGAGCTGGACAGCATGCGCTCGAGCGCGAGGCGCCGTATTACGCCTAAAAGTGCGAACCGCGTGAAACGAATGAATGTGCAGGAGCGCAGGACGCTTTAACCGCACATGCCGAGCACAATGTGTGAAAATAAAAGAGCACAAATAGAGTATTTATTGGGTATTTCATACGTGAACAGCGCAGTAACAGCTGCAATGTAGCATGTTTTAGCCCCGCATTAGGATTGAAGCTCTTATTTAAAAATCAGTTCAAATAGGTGCCAGAATATAAGCAATAATTGAAACTTATTTGACAGAATGCTCGCCCAGGACTACGGCCTTATATCAAATCCTGCTGATTTGTTCCAATGGCATTTTAAACCCTTTTAAACATTTCTTTAAAGCCACCGAGCCCCCCTGTACCTCATTCATTAAGCCCCGAAGTGTAACTGCCCCTTCAGTCATTTTATTGTGCCGTGATTAATATATTTAGGTTAATTCTCCAGAGCAAAGAGGATCACCTTCAGAACAAGTTAGATTTCACATTGAACTGATCCATCCACCTATCTCGCAGCTACTTATCGTGGACAGGAAAGCCTATAATATAACTTGAAGCAGTGCACTATTGTTTTATTTTTGTATGGTGATTAAATTAATACAAAGAGACAATAATTTATTTTCCACAAAAGTTGCCTGTAAATGTTAAGAACCACGTGTCGGTAGTTGAACACCACTGCTATTTTTAATGCACAGCCAACGGCGTAGGAGACAGCTACATAAGCCTATTGCTGGGGGCACAATTTAATAATTTACATAGTAAGGTCTATTTTATTGGCCTATAAAGCTCTATGAATTGTGGGGTACACTTCCCACTTCCTCCCGGTTCCTTCGCCCCTGGCCACAGTTTATTGAAGATAATGTTTATACCTGTATTTTTAGAGCTAATTAGGCTACTCATAGCTTATTGGTTTTAATATTTATTATTTTATAGATTGCTGTATTTCCGCTCATATATCTGGCATAGGGATCTCGTTTAAATAGCTTTAGCTGTCCCTGTAAAATCTGGATTATTGTATAACGTTTATTTTATTTTTAATTACATTTATAAAGCAAGTATGGTTTTTCGGCTGCTCCTGTGGCGCAATCGGTCAGCGCGCGGTACTTATACAGCAGTGTCCGGCGGAGCCATGCCGAGGTTGTGAGTTCGAACCTCACCTGGAGCATCTGCTTTAGTTAATTTGTCCCTGTGATACTGTCGATTTAGTTGCATTGTAGTCAAATGACAATTATGTTTACCTGTCGGAATATTAGAGCAAAAACTCATGTAATCGGGTATGTTGCATAAATAAAAGTTTCGCGTCTCCATGTAAAACTGTGAGACCAGAGGAAAATAAGGACACAAGAGAGAAGTATCAGTATTTAAATAAACTCTTGAAAACTCTATAAAATCAGAACTCTTCATTGGTTTAGGAAAATTTATAACATCTGGCAATAAAAGCTTGATCAATGCTACAGTAAGCTACTATGTCTCCTGTAGGACATTTTTGCATTTATTTACTCAAGCCTACCTTAATCGTACTTCAGGGTACCCATATCAAGATCAACCAGCAGAGGGAGCCACATTATCGTTTTTGCATTGTCAGATTTTTTTTAATACTGTACTGTATATAATTTAGCAGACACTTTATCCAAAGTGATGAAGAAAAGAAGGCAGGGTCCGTTAGTGCCTGATGCTATTGGGGGTTAAGGGCCTTGCTAAGTGCCCTAATGGTGAAATCCATCTGCAGACTCTGGACTTTGAATCGATGACCGTCCGATCATACACACACCCCACTGAGCCACACATTGAGCAGATTTTTTTTTAATGAATACTGGTGAAATTCTACATGTCATAAAGTGATTTCTTGTAACTGACTGGGTTTTTCAAATAACAAGCTGCAGAGTGTGTTGTTGTTTTGCACTCCCATAAAGAAACTATCGCCTGAACAGGGACTTGAACCCTGGACCCTCAGATTAAAAGTCTGATGCTCTACCGACTGAGCTATCCAGGCTCTGTATGAACTTTGGGCAAGGAATACTAAAATGACAACCGTGTAATGTTTTTGTCAGTTTTTTTTTTGTGTGTGAAATCAATGATGCAGTTTTTTCTGAATTCAGCCAGTCATTGGTGATGAGGACGCACAGCCTTGAACTCAGGCAGCAAACCCGGTGCTGAGAATCAGAGGGGGTGAAGTGTCGTTACCAATCTTCACCACCTGGGCTCTGCCTCCCAGGAAGTCCAGGGCCCAGCTATGGATGGAGTAGCTGAGGTCCAGTTCAGCACGAGCGCGTGCAGGGATCCCGCAGCCTGCTGCACCAGCACGTCATTGGGATTGATGTCTCGGTGCAGCACCCCCTGCTGGCCACCTCCAGTACAGCATTAAGCAGTTGTTTATATATCACCTGCAGGGGTCACAGTAGGAGACATGTGCTTCAGATCAGGGCGGCAGTATGGCGTGTGACCCCAAGGCTGGGGGTAGGGGGCGGGACACCAATGACACCAGGCTTGGGTCTTTGATGTTTTGTTGCTCATCTCATTTATTTCTGCAGGACCCTCCCATTATCATTATTTGAGTTACTCTTTCCGTGCATTAAGATCATCCAATACTGACTTACTCACTGTACCTAAGCACAGGTTATCAACTATGAGTGACAGAGCATTTAGTGTGACAGCCCCTAAACTTTGGAATGCTCTTCCTCTTAGTCCCTGTAAGGAAAAATCTGTTATCCATTTTAAGCTCCTGTTACAAACACATCTATTTAATGAATATTACAACTTGCCTGCCTCGTTAAATGTGTTTTTGCAAAGTGTCCTTGAGTGTATGAAAGGCGCTATAGAAATAAAACGTATTATTATTATTACTGAGCTCTGCCATCTCTCCCAAAGCTCATCCTGGGGCAGAAAATCAGCCCTCGCATGCTGCGGTCAAGGATGCTTTGTCTGCACTTCCACGGAGCCAGCAGCTAAATAATCTACATCTTCAGGGTAGAAACAGCAAGATCAGCTTTAGTGGGGCAACACTGCCCAGTTATTATCATTACAAAGAGTCTATCCACAAGACGTGCAGATTTTTAGAATATTACTATAGAAAATGACCATAGGAACAGCCTTGGTTTATGCGGTTATATGTTATAGACTAATATTGTGAAATGTGTATCCAGGCAGGGGGGCTGTTAGAGATTGTACACCTCAGGAAAGCATGACATACTGAGCCCCCAATCCAGAAAAAATCCAACCAGGTTACAAATTTTTTAGGGCCCCTATCATTCAGGGGCCCTTGAAATCACCCCTTCCCTTAAATGGCACCCCTGTGTGGAGGATTAGCTGTTGATCACCATGTTAACAATGATGGTAACATGACCAGCATCATTACATATATGACATCAAGTTGGTGAAAGTAAATGAATCATGACTCTGAATCCAGTTACTTCTAAAGATCTCTACAATATTTTCATTATTTGCAATTAAATAAGTGTTAATTAAACATTACATTCTAATATCAACATATATTCATACATACACAGTTCATGTAAAAGATGTTGAGCCTGTGTGATAGTAATTTTGAATTGCCATCATTGGTAAAAATGTGAAATATGTGTAAAAGTGATTAAAATTAGGCACGGCTAAACACGCCAAAATGCGCACTGCACGCATTGCAGCGTTAACGCGTTTTTGACTTTCCTTGAAAGGAGCACACGAGACCAAACATATAATTCTACAAATATTCTACCATCTAAAAAGACAAGAAGAAAACATTTTTGCATCCCTGGTCACACTAACCGGTTTATTCTAAAACCCATGAAGTCCATGAGTCAAATGAAGCCTTTTAAGCGTAGTGCGTCCCCTGTATGGGAAGTTCCACTATTACCAATATAATTAGCTGTACAGTTTAGCCTGATGCTGCTTTTGCGAAATGCTCTTTCCAGCCCGCGACCGCAGGTGACAGATCTGACAGATGACAGGGCAGTAACGGCACGTAGCAGCGCGTATAAATAATGTTTGCGGAGCGGGAAGGAGGGGCTGTTTCACGGGGGTCGCGGAAAACTGTTTCCTGCGGTTAGCGCCGCGATCGGAGCGTTCAGTTCCGGAGCGGCGGAGACCGGGGCTCGGCGACGCTCCGAGGCGCTGACATCTGGAAACGAGGACGGCTGGAGGAGAAGCGCAGGCACGGGAGGTGAGCGCTGCTATGCCAGGAATCCCCTTCACATGCAGACGCCGTGCACCTCCCTCCGCCCCGCTGGTCTGTAAGCCGTCTGTCTGCGGCGTCTCCCATTTCTGTAAGTAACTTATTTTGTAAGTATGATAATTTTTTTGGTGATTTCATTCTTGGTGTGTTTGGCGGATCCGAGAGAGAGGTTGCGTCAGTCTGGAGTCTTTTCTAATAACGGGTTTCGCTGCGTGCGCGCTGTTCTGCTGGAAGTTGGTGGCGTTTTAGGATCTTTAATTTCCGTGAGCAAATATGCAAGAAAATGTGCGGCGATCAGTCGCTGGCTGCCACATCGCCGATATCCGCCGACGGCGATCGGATGCTGAGGACTGATCAATCTTATCTTTCATAATGTGTCTCTCTATCCATTTGGGCAGATTATCCGGTTTTCGTTGTATTTTATGCAAGAATGCCTGTGCTCCTTTTAATGCATACAGTATATAAAAGCAGCATGACACGTCTTGTTTCGATTCTCCTAGCTTAATGTTTGCGTTTACGGCACATCAATAAAAACATTATATGTAACTCAGTAACTGGAATAGGAAGTTTACATTTTAGATATGAGACGTGTAACCGTGTATGCGTTGCGACATGCCGACGTGTTTCCCCCAGCGCTGTGGTGCTTCTTACAGAATTCACACTGAGTTACACAGGCATCTTCCTATGTTATCAAATAGACGTTTAATCCAGGACGGAGTCAATAAGCAGTTTACGTTACATGTCTGTAAACCCCGAGTGTTGTGCCGGTTGAGGTTCGCCGCCTGTTCATTGCCGTTGGGCTGTTCGGGGTAATTCGGGTTAATTCGTTGTTATTTGCGGTAG